TGAGAGGGTAAACTAATTCCCCGACACCCACATGGATCTACTCTCCAAAGTGAGAGGATAAACTCTACACTCACATGAATATCCAGACATGGATGAGCCGGGCTGCTCTAGTATAACTAGATGCACAATGGTTTATGCATGGATTTCTAGAAGTAGCCACAATGGTCTTTTTCAAGGCTTAGCTAACTGAAGGATTTTGGGTCTCTTGGCCTAATCAACAAGGAACCGAGCCTTAGAGACGGAAGGGGCACATTACTCAGTATGCCCTATGGACGGCTGCCCTAAAAACCTAAAGGTGCTACCGGTGCACTAAGGTAACCTACGGTTTTCAGAAGACTGCTTATAGCTTGCCCTTCAAGCAGTAAAGCCACGCTAGACTTATACAACTGCACATTCTTGTGAAAGGTTAAACAAGCTAGCGTGCATATACGAAGCTTTATCCACTATCGACATGCTATGTAGTCGATAAGCTTCATCACTACCAAGCGTTGAACAACTTACACCAAGTCCTAAAGTGTTATGATACTTGCTACGCAACCTACAAAATTGGAGAAAGCCAAGGTTAACAACCGAGTGTTTACGCGGACTTGTTTGCTTTTGTAAGTAAGACATCCGACTGCCAACCCTATGGCTAACAACTTTGCAAAGTTCTACACCAACATTTACGACTACATAGGCTATACGGGCTTGTTTGCTTATAGAAAAGTAACACGCCTGCTACTGGTCTATAAAGTCTAAAGGTTAGGGCATGAACAAAATAAGCGAAGATGGAGAAAATTGAAGGAAATAAGTTTATTGAATTTTCTAGCAAAAATGATAAACAACTAGCAAAAACCGAATGAATTCAAGCAAAAGCAACAAGGAAAATAAAGAAAATCCTAGAATACTACTCTTCCGCAGCTTAGACATCCCAAGACTACTCGGTCGCCACACCTTCAGCAACAGCAATGCTTTTAGCAACGGTACCATCCAGCGCTTCACCCCCAGCTGCCCCAGCCTGGGCACCATTTTCTCCGACCACTTCACCAATAAAAGACTCAAAAGTAAAGGCGAGTAAGCCTTCTAGAGAAATAGAGAAGGTCTCGAAGTCTTTGCCAGAAACCTCAAAGTTAAATGGCCGCCCAAATAGATGATCTACATAACCCAGCTTGTAGAAGTCAGCTTGACTCTGAGTAAGCGAAGCCTCGAACCCAGCCTCGAACCCTTCAACTGCTCATTCTCAGACAAGCATGAACCCATTCTAGCTCATCCACTTCTTTCTTCAGATTGTAGTTGATCTTCAAAACACCTTAGAGTTCCAACACTTGAGGCTCAAGCCTATCAATAACCTTCTTGAAGTGGATCACTTGGTTGTAAGCAGCGATCAGTTCTTCATCCTTTGCATAAGTAGCAGAACGGAATTTAGAGATGGCATGATCAAGATCTTGAATTTGAGGTATGTAACGCTCGATCTCCTTCTCTGCACTTTCATATTTCACTTGGATCACGTCAAGCCTAGTCTTCAAATCCATGATCTCTTGGCGAGCAGTCTCAAGTTGCAGAGAAGTGGGGGCAGAGATATTGAACCCTTTCAAAGCAGCAAGCTCAGATTCCAATTTCTTGACTTTCTCAGCCGAATAGTAAGCTACGGCTGCCACAGTTCTTGCCACCTCCTTGGAAGCCTTAATATCCTCTTGATCAATAAGCATAGACTTAGCTGCCATAATCGCCATTTTCTGCATCATGGCCAGCAGGGCAGTCCTTCTATACTCAGTCATATGCTTTGCAAAGGACCTTGGGCCAACAACCCCTTTGGCGCCATCAACAAACTTGGCACATACATCCATGTCCTCAAGTGGATCTGGTTTCAAAAGCGTACAAATCTTAGCAATTTCCCTAGAAACAGACTTGGTAGATTTATCACGACTGCCTGCATGAGCAGTCTCATTCTTCTCAACAGACGAGTTGATTTCAGCAGCAGATAGAACGGGTTTTGGTGCCACTTTAGCAGGCAGGGGAATCTTGTCACCCTTCATAGTAGTAAGCCTCTCCAAATGTGAGCCAGACTTAGCCTTAGAATGACGCTTTGGCATAAACTTCGACATCAGAGGCACATAAGAACTTCTACGATGGGCAATCCTATCAGCAATTGAACTAGTAGCCTTCGAAATGGCAGGCGCCATCGGCATAGATCTAGCAGCCTCTTCTTTCTCGCCCTTGGAGGAAGTCAAGTCAATCACAAGCTTGGGAGCAGCCGGTGAACCCTCGTGAGCAGCAAAAGAAGTCTTCGGCTTCTTCTCAACATGTGTATCTTGAGCAATCGGTGAACCCCCACGAGCAGCGGAAGAAGTCTTTGGCTTCTTCTAAGAAAACATCTCTTGAGCAAGCAGGGAGGGCCTCTTCGTCTCACCTTCATTTGTAGCAGGTTCCACCATAGTGATAGGATGAGCCAACACCTCAGCCTTGATTCATTTTATCTCTTATCTAGGGGGCAACCCACTTTTTTCCCTACGAAGAGGACTAAGCAGCCAACGCCATTCATGGTACTCAGAAGGGATACCCAGAGCAACATGCACTTTCTTCATGTCTGGAGAAGTCTTAGAAGTTGAGCTAAACTTCGAATCTACAAAAGCAGTGGGAGACAATGAGAAAATTAAAAAGCAACTTAGCACAAATACAAAGTAGCAAAGAGATTAAGCAGCTTACTTACTGGATATGAAACCGTTGGAACATGCATGTCAGGGGAAGAATCAGACTCCCATTCTCTACTTATCTCCAGAGTCTCATTGGCCCAGTCATGATCTCCCTTGCTTGAATTATCAAAAAGCCTATGGTGAGATCGTAGCTGCCCAACTCCCTCGATGTGGCCTATGTCAAAGAAGTACCAAAGTTTGTTGATGGTTAGATCTAAGTCAAAGAATTGGCTTAGATTGTGGAATCCCACCATCACACGGACCGCATTTGGAGAACATTGGGCGGGGGCACATCTCATGGAGCAGAGCACTTCTTGGAAAAAATGCGGCATAGGAAAAGTAAACCCCAACACAAAATAGTAGAGGTGGAACTTGATGGCTGTTTGAGCCTCATCACATGATTCACGGCTGTTACCATCCTTAACACGCTTTACACGCACTCCCGACAGAATGGCGTGCCAATATGCCTCGAGGAAACCTCTAAACAAGTCATCGGAGCTAATTTTGAAGTGAGCAGCCTTGAAGTAACCAACCTTGCTCAAAGACCCGCCTTGACGATACAAGGACGACACACCATCATCATTCTTATGGCTCGAGGAAAACATGCTTGAAAATTTTCCAAAAGGATACAAGAGGGATCCGTTAGAGGGCTGCCCCCCAAAAAAAAATGACACAACACAGCTGGCCTCTCAACCCAAAAGAGGTTCTCCGCCTCTCTCTCTCTCTCTCTTTTCTCCCTCAGGCACGGGCCCGAGCCCATCCTTTTCAGAAAAAAAAAAAAAAAAGCAAAGCAGGGAGCCTAGGCAGCGCTGGCTCCCCATCCTTCCTCACTACTCAATCCAACCAACAGGAGGCTAACGCCTCCGCGCCTTCTCTCTCCTCACAGCCCAGGCACAGAGGCCCAAACCACAGCACAACCCACGGCCCGAGCCTAGCCGAGCCACCATGCAACATCCCACGACCAACGACAACAGTACCATGGCTTCTCCAAGTTTTTTTTCAAGCCACCTTGACCCTCATCGAGCCAATTTCAAGCCTTGAGGCTTCTAAGAAATTAAGAAGACAAGGAAAATTAAATTTTTCTTACCTAGAAGTGGCATGAAGATGAAGCAAGCAACGAAAGATGATCCTTTGCACGGGCATGATTTAGAAGATTGCTAGAGGAGGGGGAGCAAATATCATCTAAGCTTTCTCTCTCTTGTAGGGTAGAATAAATCGCTCTACAAAGTTGATTTAATAACCCACTTAAGGTGGACTTAAATAGGCTTTGAGAGAAATTTATTTCCCTTTCCTAGAAGGATCTAATTTCCTATTAAAGAGGGAATCTACATCAAAATAAGAAACAATCCTATGTTTCCCAAAGCAAGAAAATATCTACACATGTTGCCCTTTTCTACAAGCAGCCCAACAGGTGTGGGGGCATTTGTGGAGCCAAAAATAATCAAGAGGTGAAACGTGGAATTTTGGGTAAAAAATAAAAAATTACCCCCGAGGCACACCGGAATTCCTACGCGTGAGCAGTGGACAATCATCCCTCAATCAAGTCAAAAGTGCCCAAATAGGTATTTATTTATAACATATTTCATCCATCCCTCATCATATATTCTCCACAAGGTAACCCCTATATCATTCATTTTTTATTATATTAATTATTCAATTAATTAATTTGCAAATTAAACACAAATCATGAACTTCACCCACAAAACCATCCAAGTGGCCGGTCCATCTCCTCCCAAGGTGGCCGGCCACACCCCTATATAAATACCCCCATTCTCTCCAAAACTCAATTCCAATTTCCTTACTGAATTCTCTAAATTCTCCAAACACTTTTCCCTCAAAATTCTAACTTTGGCATCAGAGGTTCTTTGGCAACAGCCCCCCTCCATTCATCGTGGGCACTTGATGCTCTTGGCCTTGACCTAAGGTGTTATTTATTTTGTAGGTGCAATTTTATCCAAGAATAAGGAAGAATAAATTTGCATCCATAGTGAGTAAAATGGTGTCTGCAAAAAACAATATCAATTGGTGTACTTTTTATGTAATGTGACATGAATGATAAGACGTCACACTTACAAAACACGCCACATAGTATGTTGAAAAAGTTTAATGATAATCTTCTTTATTGATTCGTGAGAGATTTAACATTTGAATATTCTAAATGTATGTTGAATACTTATTTTATTTTTTCATCCTAAGTAAAACTATATTGTTGTATAATCTTTAAAAAAAATTATGGTCAACTAATTAATAATACAATTGAGTTTAGAAGCATCCTTATCGTTTGGGGTTACACCTATGACATATCTCTATATAAACTGGTCCCTTAATCCAAGCTCTCTCATATTCCAATTTCCAACCTTTCTACTTCTTGAGTAAATTAAACTAGTTGCCATATTACCATCACCATGGTCAGCGAAAAAAAAAGGCCAGTCGAGGAGGTGTCTGGTTGGCTAAGAGTCTTTGATGATGGCTCTGTCGACCGGAGGTGGACTGGACCTCCTGAGGTTCAGTTCATGGTGGAGCCTGTGGAAGCCCACGATGAATTTATCGACGGAGTTTCCACAAAAGATGTGGTTGCCGACAAATCATCTGGCCATCGTGTCCGAATATATTTACCAGAGCGAAAGCCGGAAAATAATGACACCAAGCTACCAATAATCCTCCATTTCCACGGAGGTGGCTTTTGCATAAGTCAAGCTGATTGGTACATGTACTACCAAATATACACTAAACTATCTCGCTCCACGAATGCCATTGTAATCTCTGTCTATCAGAGGCTCGCACCGGAGCACCGTCTCCCGGCTGCAATCGAGGACGGCTATTCCGCTCTCCTTTGGCTCCGGTCATTGGCTCAAGGCGAGCAAAACGAGCCACTCCTCAGCCATGCAGACTATAACCGTGTGTTTCTTATTGGAGATAGCTCCGGAGGGAACATAGTCCACCATGTGGCGGCTCAATCAGGGACTGCGGATTTGAGTCCCTTAAGACTTGCCGGCGCGATTCCAATCCACCCCGGTTTCGTTCGAGCGGAGCGGAGTAAGTCGCAGTTGGAGCAGCCTCAGTCACCTTTCCTTACCCTAGATATGGTGGACAAGTTCTTAGGGTTAGCCCTTCCAGTGGGGTCCACCAAGGACCATCCCATAACTTGTCCGATAGGTCCCGAGGCCCAACCGTTGGGTAATCTGAAGCTTCCGCCGTTCCTTCTCTGCATTGCTTCCAGGGACTTGATCATAGACACGCAAATGGAGTACTTTGAGGCCATGAAGAAGGCCAACAAGGATGTGGAGCTTCTAATCAACGAGGGGGTGACTCATAGCTTTTATCTGAACAAGATTGCTGTCGACACGGACCCGGAAACTGACGCCGAAACTGAGCGTCTGATTGCAGGGATCAAACAGTTTATCAAGAACCACTAAGATTGAAGGCGTCGCCCTTCTCAGTTTTTATATAATTATGGGTGTTGGTAACGATTTTTTTTTTTTGGTTTGTTTGTTCTTCCGGTTAATGCTGCCAAATATGTTTTTCAGATCCGCATACAGTAGTGGGGGATCGCATGGATAAGATGAGATGAGATATTGTTGGAACATTATTGGCTTCCAAACTTTAGTTTTTCTGTTCTTGTTTTTTTTTTTATTGTAGTGTTTAATACCCCAAAGCGTGTCTTATGTTCTTTTTCTTTTTTGTTATGCCTTGTGATTGTTTTCAGACTGCGAATATCTTTAACAAAATTACCTATGTGTTCATGATTCTCACGTTTGTGTTGGAATGGCTATATTTTAATAAACTGAAAATGACTTTAGCCCCTGAAACTCAAGTTTCTTTACATAAAACCCGACATATTCTTTTTACCTGAATAAAACCCAATGACTAGTCTCCACATAAGCAAATTCATTAATTCTATTTGCCTTTACACATTTTGCATTTTTTAGATGCCTAAAACACCCCTAATTACAGTTTTAATGTATACATTAAATTCTATGCATATTTGAAGGGAGGGATTAATGAAAAAAAATGCATTAATGTTTAAAATCATTGCATATTAATATATCATAACAAATTGTATGTTAATGCTTATGAAAAAAAAAAACACTAATGTTATACTTTCCTTAAGATTTCGTAATTGTTTTTCCAATTTGCATAAAATTTGACAATTTTAATTTAATATTGTCATTTTCTTACTCAAATGAAAATTTGAAAGGGCACTATAAAATTTGTCCAGTAATAATTGTAAACACGGAAATTCCTGCGGTGAATGAGACAAGAACACGTGTACAAAATAATATTTGTATTAATGATTTAGGGGTTACAATCTCTTCTACGAATTTGGCCTCTGATTCTATCTTTGAAACGCGTAGATGTAGTGTTGCTGATCCAGGGGCCGTCGAGGCTTGATCTTGGACGAACAGTTGATGAGTGATGAACACCTTCTTCAAGGGCCGTCGGGGCTTGATCTTGAATGGGTGGAAGTTCTTCAAGGGGCGTTGGGGCTTGATCTTGAAGGAGGATTTCACGAAGAACGAAGAGGGCTTTCTTGATCCTTCGGGATTTGCTTGAGAGCTTCCAAGTTTCGAGGCTTCAAGGCTTTGGTGTGGTGTGACTTCTCTTCCAATTTGGGAGTAGAGAAAGTGTATGTAAAAATCCTCCCTTGATTCTTTGATGGAGGAGCCTATTTATAGGCTTTGGGAATGAACCACCACCATCCATTTGTTTTGGTGGATGTTGTAGGTGAATTGGTGGATTCTTGTAGGTGAATTTGGGTGGAGGTTGTAGGTGAATTTGGATGGATTGTTGTAGGTGAATTTGGGTGGATTGTTGTAGGTGAATTTGGGTGGAGGTTGTAGGTGAATTTGGATGGATTGTTGTAGGTGAATTTGGGTGGATTGTTGTAGGTGAATTTGGGTGTATGTTGTAGGTGAATTTGGATGGATTGTTGTAGGTGAATTTGGATGGATTGTTGTAGGTGAATTTGGGTGTATGTTGTAGTTTTAATGCAATGGTCAACATTTATTTCACTAAAATTTCAATGTTTACAAATGTAATTTTAATGCGATGGCTAACATTTATTTCAACAAAATTTCAATGTCTACAAATGCCCCCACTTCAAGGCGCATAGTATACATGTGCTTGTCACGTGTAGAAGATGCGTTTTGAAGTCCCTTAATGTAGATGTCGATCCAAGGGCCGTTGAGGCTTGATCTTGAACTGGTCTGGGAGTTTCTTCAAGTGCCGTTAAAGCTTGTTCTTGAATTTTGTTTGAAATTTTTTTTTTTCAAGGGCCGTTGAGGCTTGATCTTGGATGAAATTGGACCACAAGGAGCTTCACGTAGTAGACGATCCTTGGCTTTGATAATGGATGAATCAGCACGTATTTTGTTGTGCTTGTTGACTTTCCACAGCTTTGATCTTGAACTAGGCTGGAGGAGTTTTCTGGTTTCCTCCAAAGGACTTTCCACAGACTTAATCTTGAACTAGATTTGACTCAAGGGTGGTGGACACTTGATCTTGAGTCAGGGTCGTTGGGGCTTGATTTCGAACTTAAACATGACCACGAGCAGTTTCAGGACATGCATGCTTTGAAAGATCAAGGAAGTTCGCAGCATTTTCATATGAACCCTGAGCAGTTTGGTCAACAGTATGATCTTCAAGATTGATGGGCTCTTCTTCCAGTTGGTGACTTGATCTTTAAGGATTATCGAGGCTTTGCTATTCGGTGACGGTGCCAGCGAAGGGTTGTTAAAGCTTCTCGAGCCTTTTGGTTAGAGCAACGCTGTCCAGCTTGGATCTTTACTTGAACTCCTCCGTCTGGATTGTGTGGTTATGCAGGGAAGGGCTTCGTGCTTCATGATTTGTTCCAGCTCGTTGTATTGCATTCTTCTCTGCTTGTTTCTTTTGCATAGCTAAAGCGGTGTGCAACCTTTTGCCTTTAAATGGTTCTTCGGAGCACCATCTCTCAGCGACTCACCCATGCTTGGCAGCTTCAGTGCAAAGCGCCGATGTTAACAGATCCACACTCCTGAAGCATTTGCTGAGGGAATTCGAGACATATCAGCAGTTGAAGATGAGCACTCGAGAGCAACGCTAGGTAAGTAACTAGGCAAAGGTTCCGGGCAATCAGTTCCTGGTCGGACATTTAATTTCAGGTTCCGACTGATTGCTTCCTTTCTCCTTGTTCAGCAGGCAAGAGCAAGGGCAAAGGAGAAGATGGGGGAAGAGCATGATATGAGATACCTTTGCTTTCGACCCCAGTGATATGAGATACTTTTGCTTTTGAAGAAGTAGCGGACGATCAACACATGCATTCGTCGTGCTTGCCTCCATATGCTTCGATGCATCATCTTCATCTGCATCATCTTCACCTGCATCATCTGTTTTCCAGGCAGACGTGGTAGACGAAGAGGAAGCAAAAGATGTTGAGGATGAGTATTCGAAAGCACGGCTAGGTGAGCAATCAGGCAAGGTTCCAAGCAGTCGGTTCCTTACCAGGAGCTTGAGTGGAGGTTCCGACATATTGCTTTCTTTATCCTTGTCTTCGCAGTGAAGAGGGAGGACAAAGAAAATGATAGGGAGAAAGCATGCTATGAGATACTTTTGCTCTCAACCCCAGTGATATGAGATACCTTTACTCTGGTGTGGCTTGGTTGAAGAGGCGCTTCCAGGGAGGAAGAAAACTGAGTTTTGGTTGCAGATGCCCTCGGCGAGGAAGAAAGGTCAGGCTGGATGTGTTTTCAGGGAGGAAGAAAACTGAGCTTTGGTTGCAGATGTCTTCGGCAAGGAAGAAAGGTCAGGCTGGATGTGTTTTCAGGGAGGAAGAAAACTGAGTTTTGGTTGCAGATGCCTTCGGCAAGGGAGATGGGTCAGGCTGGATGTGTGTCTTGCTATAGGATGGAGGTCGAATTATATGGTGAGCTCTCAACATCAAGTGGCAGGGTGAGCGTGGCCTTGTCACCCACGCTTGTCGGCAGAAGTGCGGTAGTTGGCATAATGAACCTCACGCGTTTTCAACTTTTTCAGTGATATCTGACAAAGTTGCACGTGATAGCCGAAAGCTGAGATTGTGTCTGAAAAGTGTCGACGGACTTTACGCAGGAAAATCCGGGTTTTGAAATTCGGAGAGTGGTGTCTCTTCAATTTATGAACGAATGGTTGTGCTGCCTCTCATTTTAAAGAGGTGTCAATTGTATTCAACACGCACAATTTGAAGATTGCCTGCCCGTGAAAAATTATCTCTGCTACTCTTTGCTTCATCCAACCTTTTTCTTTTAGTATTTTTTGAAAATGGCTTCCCCTTTTAACATTTGCTTAGATTTGAGTCTTAGCAGTGACACAGGTGCACCGCGTCAGGGTGATGTATGGCGCCCGTCTTTTTTTTCTTCTAATGGCCCTCTTACAGTTGAGGACTCTGTGATGAGGGATGCAACCATGGCTACGGTTGTAGCTAGAAACCTCATCACTCCTAAAGATAATAGGATACTTTCACGACGGTCCGATGAGTTAGCTGTTCAAGAGTCCCAGGCTCTCAGTGTCCAGTGTGCGAACTCTGTTTCCAACATGGGCCAACGCTTACTTGCTCGAACTCGCCAGGTTGAATCATTGACAGCCGAGGTGGCGGCTCTTAGTCAAGAGATTAGGCAGCTCAAGCGTGAGAATAGAGAGTTGCATGTGCTTGCAAATAGTTATTCGACGAGCATGAAGAGGAAGCTTGATCAGCTGATGGACTCCGAAGGTCAAATTCAAAGTGACCATCGGAAGTTTGTGGATGTATTCCAGAGGCACTTTTTGCCTTCGTCATCTGGAATTCGACCAAGTATTGAGGCTCCGAATAAGCTATCTTCAGTGCCTCCCTCCTTTAGGGTTCCACCGAGTACCAAGGCTCCAAGTACCGAGGCTTCACACAAGTGACATTCGTGAAGGCTCCTTTTTTTTTTTTTTTTTTTTTTTTTGTGTAATTTCTCGGAGATATTAATGGACATGTCTTATTTTATTCAGTATGTTGTGTTGAAACGCAAATAAAACGCATATCTGACTAAGATGCATTACTTCCCCATGCACCCACCTCCTTTTAGATGGTGACTAGTGCACCCATTTCTTTTTAGATGGTGACTGGAAGCATCATTTTGTCATCACCACCCATTTCCTTTTCCATTATTGACTTGCGAATAGTAATACACACTCGTGAGTGGCTTGACGATAGCACAGTTGGTTTTTTTTTGGTGGCCTTCCTCACTGCATTGTGTTCTTCTCGCATGCGGACCATCTTTTCACTTGCACAATCACCTTATCACAATCTTCATTGCATGCGGATTGCTTTTTACACAGTCACTGCATCGCATGCGGATCACTGTTTGCACAGTCACTGCACTACATGCAGACCGGTTTTATTTGCAGCCTGTTGAGACCAATATATATATACACACGCATTCATACACACATGCATACATACATAGGGCATTGCGTAGTCTTTACATAGACACTGCACCAGCTTACTGCCCTGAATCTTAACTGCACCGTCCTGTTTCTTTGCTGCGACGTGCTCTTCTCGTCTGCCGTGTGGTGAGCTCGGTGTTGGACAAAAAGTGGTGCAGCTTCTTCAACCCCATCGCCCTGCAGTCGGTCACGTCGATGTTCATCGTGTTCATCCGAAGTCTTCACTGCGGCAAAGGAAAAGCTCACCATCATCAAAATTAGGGCAGCAACAACAAACTTCATTATCCTGCAAGCTTCAGGGAGAGTTGCAGGAGAGCATGAGGAC